TCCATGAGGCTTAGTAGCAACACCCAGAACCTGTTTCCTCAGCCATCACACGGAGGTACCCACTTCACCCGTTGTTGAAATTAGCTTGGCACATGGGAATCAGCATGAGTGGCAGGTAATGTTCACCACAGAAGAATGCTAAAGTGGAGCACCCTAGACCGCCAGAGAAAAATTTTAGGTCATTTTGGGGCTCCTAAGGATCAGGACAGGTAAGGAGGGGGGCTAAGGGTGTAAAAGCATGGGGCGAGAGTGGGGAAGATCACAGTTTTGTCCAGAACTAATTCTGGAGGAGTCTTGACTCATGCCTTTTTACTGAAGGTGATGTTCATTGTCTGAGTCTGAAAGTCTCAAAATTGGGAACAAGTTGAGGTTTCAAATCCAGAAGAGCGAGTCCCCCTTATGTTGCACACAGCAGAAACCTTCCCTGTCACTTCACCAATGTGTATGCTCTGTTAGGACAATGGGCTTCCTTTGAGGGTTTCTGGGGTGAAAAAGATATAGGAAAATGAATATATCAAACATTTTATCAGTGTCTACTGCATGCAGAGTAGACAAAGAGCTGAATGGAGGTTCAAAAACTAACAGAAAAAAGAAGTAACCCAAATGTCCACCAATGGACGGATGGATAAACAAAATGTGGCATATACATTCAGTGGAACGTTAATCAGTGGTAAAAAGAAGATGCTTTGATACATGTTTCCATACGGATGACCTTTAAAGACATTATGCTAAGAGAAATAAATCAGACACAATGGACAAATGTGATTATGATTCCACTCAGATGATGTAGAGTAGATAATTGCATAGACAGAAAGTAGAATAGTGGTTGCCAGTGGCTGACAAAAGGTGAGGGGGAATAGAAGGATGGTTGGGGAAGTGGGGAGTTACTTTTTAATGGGTACAAAATTGCAGTTTGGGATGGTGGAAAAGTTCTGGAAATTGATAGTGGTAACAGCTGCACAACAATGTGACTGTACATAGAGCCTCTGAACTGTACACTTAAGATGGCTAAAATGGTAAATAATGTATATTTTACAACCCTACCCGCCTCTACCGCTACCCCAGTAAACAAAAAACAACTCAGATCCCAGGTTTTGGCCTCCAGACGCTTGAGTTTAACAGTAGTGGAAATGCATGCAGCCCCAAGGAAGGACAGCGAAGGCTGAAAGGGCCCTGGGCAGCGACTCCAGGCATCCCTCCTCACAGGAGGTACTCATCATTGGGCAGAATAAGTACCTACCTGGCTACACACGGGACGGCGCACCCTCAGACCAGGGGGACTCGCGTTTTCTTCTCTCTACAGGGCTCAGACTGACAGGCACGAACAATCCCAATACAGGCTTCTGGAATGACTCTTCGCAGGAGGGATGAGGTGCCGGGGAAACAGCCGGGGTTGAAAACACGTTCATGTTCACGATCACGGGTAAAGTCCTGGGATGCACAAGGTATAGCCCAGGTTCCTGCCCCGGGAGTCTGCGCCCCCCACGTCTCTGCCAGCCCTCATCTGCCAAAGAAGGTCCCGGGGCCTCGGGAGCTCAAGGTCAGTGGCCAAGGCCAAAGGGCGGAGGCAGAGCTTCCAGAGGGTCGCACTGCCTCCCCGGCTCCCACCGAGCGTAATCCCCGTGACCCCCGCGCGGGGGCTCCCGGAGCGCCCAAACCGCTAGCCGGGTTGAGGGGAGGGAAAGCCGAAGCCTGCAGTCGAAGGACCTGCCTCCACGCCCGCCCAGTCCCGGCCGCCCGCAGCCAGCGGGAGAGACGCCCGGGAGCCAGCTGCCCACACTCGAGAAACGCAGCCTGCTGGGCCAATTCCCCGCACCGGCCGAGCTCTCTGGGAGTTCCCGGCCCGGATGCGAGGGCCCGCAGGTCGCCGCGCCGCCGCCAGGGGGCAGCTCTGCCCCGCGCAGGCACCACTGGGACCCGCGCCCCTCCACTTTCCGCGTGCACGCGAGCGGGATGCGCGGGAGAGGGGTCGACGCGTCGCTTCCCCGGCTCCCCGCTGGGAAAGGTTTTCGTCCCACGTACCAGCTTCGGGATGAGGAGCTGGAGGAGAGTTACCAGTCGGGGCCGAAAGCTGGAAGCGCAGTAGGGAGGGAGGCCCGGGGTGGGGGACGACTGGGTAGACCAGGGAGACGTGGGAGACGTGAATCGCTTGGCTTTCTGTGTTCCGGGAACTTCGCGAGCGCGGAGCTGAAAGTTGCATACAAACATCTAGCTTAATTAAGCAAACAAAACAAGTGGTCACATCCAAATGTGGGGCTTCAGTAAAGCTCGTCCAAATAGTGGCTGTTCTCCGTCTCTGCAGCAGTCCCTCTGGGCTGATCTTCCACTCTGACGTTCAGTAAATCCTAACACTTTCCCCGGAGTGGCCCGATGATAATTCGCCACGTTTTGCAAACGTTTCCAGGGAAGAGCCTCTTAACCCTTTGGGAAAGAACTTGAGGACAAAATTACAAACGAATGCAGTCTGTCTCCTGCTCCATGAACGGAATGAAGTCTGTAACCGGTCGCCTAAAGTAATTAATGGTCTGCGAAGAAATTTTTCCTGTTTCATCTCTGAATACTTCGTCACACACCAACCCTCAGTGCTGCGAAAGTCATGGTGTTTATTTAGATATCGACTGAGTACTTATAAAACTTAAACTTTTCAATGTAAAAGTGAACTCCTTCGTAAGGACTCCTGGCTGTATCAACAAAGCAATGTGACGCCTGATTAATAGTGCTGATTAATGTTGGCTCAGGTTAGTGCTCAGCCTATTACAGTAATTAAATTGTTCAGCCATATATCAAACGAGAGTCAATGAAAATTTATTTAGAACGTCGAGGCATTCTCATAGATCGTTCAAAGACCTATGATAGCCTTTATGGGTCATTTGTAACAGTAACTGCTGGTAGCAGTCCTCAGCACCAAAAAACTCGAATTTGAAATAGGTCTTAGATGGAGGACCAGTTTATTTTTGAAGTTCTGTGATTGATAGTGCTAGTAATGACACATTTCAAAATGCGAAAAGCATTTGGTCAATAAAATGATATACACAGGGGCAGCTGATGGCTGTTCCTACAGAACGCCATTGAATTTTGATTCTTAGTTCTTGTCAAGAGGTCATTTTAATCAGAAAGTTAAACTTTTAGGGCAAGCTCCCCTCTTTGAAATAGAAGCATTCTAGGAAATGCACCAATCCAGAAGGTATGACTAAGTGAATATGAATTCCGCAACTATTAGGATATTTCCACGAGCCTAAATAGCTCGTTTGAGTTGGTGGTAAAGATAGGTACCTTTAAAAAAAATCATATTTTAATTATTTCCACTATCTTGTCACCTGAGAAAACTGAATTAAGCGGAATATGAATCTCATAAATTTTTTTCATTTCACCAGAAGGTATTAAGAGTAATGGATTTTCCAAAAACACATTTATCTTAAAGTCAACTATCATTAGTTTCTATTAATAAGCCTGAGTAAAATATTTATATGTTATGTAATGTAAGTATTTTGAGATTACTATGAAGTGCTGACCAGAATGTTCCTCCGACTGAGAACTATTTAGCCCCATTAT